TATATATATATATATATATAATAATAATAATAATAATAATAATAATAAATTTAATATTTAATATTATTAATACAATATACTTTTAGAAATAAATAAAAATTAATATATTTAAATTTAATTATAAATTTTTCATATAAATTTTATAATTTAATAAAAAATAGATTTTTTCAAAAAAAAAAAAAGAAAGAAAAAGGAAAAAAATTACAAGAATCTAATTTAATTTTTCATAGGAAATAGAGATATACGACAAGAGAAAAGAAAGACAAATATAATTCATAGAAAAAAATAAATTTTAATCATACATATTTGTAGAAGGAAAATTGAAAGAAAGATTAAATTTTTTTTTTGTGAAAGTCTCCAAATATCTCGTGACTAATGATAAACAAATTTAAAGATTTTATATGAGCATTTTTTGCTTAAAATTTGAATATCCAAAATTAATAGAGACTTTTAAAATATTTTAATTGAATATACCTTAATTTTTAAAGATTTTTGTAAAATTTATAAAAAATTTAATTGAATATACCGTAATTTTATGAATTTTTAAAAGTAGTATAATATAGTACGTCAATATCGTTCAGTGGTACTTTATCCGAGTCCCGGACTTTCTGCCGTTCCATTTTGTGAGCGGCAGCACTTGCAAAATATCATTCACTCTGTTTATCACTACATGAACTTTTCGAATTTCCATAGCTAGAGTACATGGCGGTTCGCGCGATGAATGGTAGCGCAATCTTGCGCTGCTGCACGGCGTCGCCACCAATCGCCGCCATAAGATGCTGCGTCCACCAGTACAAGGCTGTTCACTTCCACCGTGGTGGTCAATCCACCAAACTAGGGTTTCCGTTATCAATTTTGCAGCGAAGTTATAATAAAGTTTCTAATGTTGGAGATAGAATCGTTGCAATTCGAAAATATTCGGTGCAGAGCCTTGTGGATATGGTCGTGGAAGAACTTGAATCGTTGCGCAAGCGTGGCAGAGTTCGCGCGTCCAACAAGTATGAAGTATATAAATTCATATATTTGCTCCTAGACTTACTTTCTTCAGTTGTCGCCTATGTTGTTATATCATTTCTTTGATTCTTATTCGAGTGTTGAATGTTTTTATGTATCTAGTATCGATTTTTTTGTGAATGGTAACCGAATTATTTTTGGATAAATTGTAATGTTTAAGTTAATAAATTGGTGTAATTGGAGCTGGTGAAACTGTCTGTGATAAAATGTGTGAAATTTTTCGAAAACTTTGGAGCTTTATGATGGGAGTTCAGAACTTGTCCTTGGCTTATGAAGGTTCCTAATTACATATTTTGATTTTTTGGGATTTTAATGCATTTTAACTATTCGGAAGCTAAAGTTATGATAACTACTTGAGAAGTCCCAGCTCACATTTGATCAATCCCTAAAGTGAGATTTCTCTGATGACCTCAATGTAGTTCTCTGAGAAAATACTATGTTAAGTGACAGAGCTAAGGAAACAAAGAGTCAAGTCCTTTGGTTAAATAATATGGTTATCTATATGAATCGCACTATATGTGGTATTTGTTGTTGAATTGTTTTTGCAGGTTGGAACTGAAAAGCAATGAAGAGATTCTTGAAAATAAGTTAGGGAAACAGGTGCTGCAGAAAGGATTTCTGCTAGAGTTCAAGAAAGATCCGGAGAGGGTATTGCTGGCAGTTGCACAAAAGCCTGATGGCAAGAAGAATTGGATGGTTTCTGATCAGGTTTTGTTAGAAACAACTAATGCGGCATATTGGATAGGTTGCTAGGTGTTGGATTCTTGTCTTTTTCTACACTTCTCAAGCACTTTAAGCTTCGTGTCTCTCAATTTGTTCCTTTGGTTCACTTATGCAGAATGGTGCCATGACCTCCATTAAACCGCAGCAAATTACTTTCATAGTTCCTGGTGTTGAAAACTTTGACCACACAGAGATATCAGACTTTGTTCAGAGAGCTCAGAGTAATTTGGTATGTTAATCTGTCATTTGGAGTAATGTAGCTGTTTTGGATTCTTTTTCTGTTTGTACATTGTAACCACTTGCTTTGTTATTTGTTCAGGATGCAACATTGCTCGAGTTTGCCTGGATTGAGCTTCTTGAAAAGAACAAATCAGTAACAGTGGAAGAGCTGGCTGAGGTAAATTTTTTTCATAACTAAATTAGCATTTCTGTGTTCCTCTAATGACATTAGTTTATTCTAACAGATGATTTTTGGTAGTGCCGAGCCTCTTGAGAGCTATTGTGCTCATCTACTGCTTTCAAAGGATGACATATACTTCACTGTTTTGGAGAGTAAAGGTTCATTTTCTGTTTATGGGCCTCGACCTGTTGTTCAGGTATGTTACAACGTCTTGTCACTAATAATATAGATTTTTGGTTTCTCATTGTCTATTGGGTATTATCTGCTGTGCTTGTTTCCAGTTGGTGTTCCTGGTTAAGTTTCGGACTATTAATTGGTTTTTCATAATGCTCCTCACCATGACGCTTATTTGCTTTGTTGTCTTGTCTATTAGATATGATTCAATGAATATCAATTGCTAGGTTGAAGAACTTCTACGGCGGAAGCAAGCCAAAGAGGCTGCTGAGAAAGAACTTCAAGAGTTCGTGAAGTTACTGAAATATGCCAGGGAAATGCCTCCGCATTCAAAACCCAAAAATTCTTCGTGGAGAACTGATGAGAAGATCTGGAATAGGATTGAGTCTCTTGAAGCATATGCAATAGATGATTGCAGGACTGATAACCAAAAGAAAACAGCTGCAATGGTAACTTTGACTTTCTTATCCTTAATGTCAGGTTATTTGGATGAAACTAGTTGGAAGAAAAATGATTGTTTTCCTTTTCGAAAGGGAGGTTCCATTTTTTATCCTTTAGACCCCATTTGATTGATTCTAGAGCTCAACTCCTGATTCTCCAGCAACCAAAAGTTCTTTTAGTTGTTCGGTAAATTTCAAAAAAATGATTAGAGAAAAATGGGAACCAGATTTTGAGAAGCAGCAAAATGGTAGCGTTTTTGATTTTGCTTTTACCTTCTCCAATTATCGATAATGAAAATACTAATTTGAATTCTAATTAATTAAATTAATTCATTTTTCATCCAAGGCTTATTAATATTCTAGAATTAATTCATTTTTTTTATCCAAGTTCTACTAATATTCTAAAAATAAATTCAGAAACAAAATTGAACATGATGCGTTAAAGTTAATTTAAATATATGCAAGTATTTTTCTACTATATCTAATATGTTTCTATTTTGTAATTTTTTTTTAATTTGAGATTTAGCCCCTGTTTGATAGCCCTTTTTTCGAAAACAATGTTTTAAATAGTGATTTTAAGGTATTGTGTGATTAAAAAGTAGTGAAAAATTTTGGATTTACATGCAGAATATTTTGTTGTGTCATGTGTGAATGTGTGGTTGAAAATGAGTACGTAGAATAAAGAGTTCTGAAATAATGATTGTCAAACATGGTTTTATTAATAGATATTATTTTTTCATTTTAAAATAATTATAGTGAATATGTTGTCTTATTTCTAATATTACATATTGTTATCGTTATGAACCGTGTCCGTAATTTGGGAATAAACGTGACGTATGGTAGGAATATAAAGTCTAGAATTATTTCCTAATTAGAGAGGGTTATTTCTTTTTGAGAAATATCCTCTTCATGTATATATATATGTGTACTCGTTGGTGAATTGGAATGAGAAATTGATATTTTTTTCTAAATCAATTAACATGGTATCAGAGCTCGGGTTTAAGACTTTTTGAAAATTTGGGGATTGTTCTTAGTAGTGGTGGCAAAAGCTTGGGTCGGTAATTTTGGTAGAAGAAACCGACACTTACTAGGTTATTCGTTCGCGGGGAAGATCGGAAGAGGCTACGGTGGTGGTGCAACGACCGTTTTCTTACTCTGCAATGAGTGTTGTCTGCTGTAGGTTCCAAGCTGTTCGAGCAAGTTGGTCAGCTTAGGTGTGACATCTTGCTGTAGGTGTGTGTGGCGATCAATGACGGTAGTTTGTGTGAGAGGCGCGTTAGCTTCATCGTGTCGTTTTTCTCCTACAGTGGGTGAATCCATTAGAGGAATGCCGGGAGAGCTTGGCGGTCAAGGAAGTCTGCTGACTTGGGTCAGTTTGGATTTCAACAGGTTGGATCTGGAGTTCATCAATTTGGGTTTGGGCCTTTATCTAGTGGGTGAAATTATTTGGGCCGTCACCTTTTTGGGCCTTGATTAGTGGCCAGTTTTCTTTATTTTGCTTGGGCTGCTTCTTTAGTGGACTTGCATTATTATTGTATAATTTGAGTTGCTTTCTTTTGTGCCTTCTCTGGTTATCTATTAATTATCCTTGGGAGTTGGTTCCTTTACCCCTTAATAAAAAGGTAATCGGATGCAAATGGGTGTTTACAGTCAAGATGAACCTTGATGGATCTGTTGCTCGATTGAAGGCTCGTTTGGTTGCTAAGGGGTATGCTCAAACTTATGATGTGGACTACTCTGAGACTTTCTCTCCAGTTTTTAAGCCAGCTTCCGTTCGTTTATTCATTTATCTTGCTACTACTTATCATTGACCACTTCACCAACTAGATGTTAAAAATGTATTCTTTAATAGTGATTTGTAAGAAGTTTACATTGTGCAACTACCAGGGTTTGTTGCTGAGGGGAAGTCAAGAAAGGTCCGCAAACTGTAAAAGTCGTATGGACTGAAACAATCACCAGATGCCTGGTTGGGAGATTTAGTGAGGTTGTGATTAAATTTGGCTGCATATGATCACTCAGTATTCTTTAGACAATCTATGGTTGGGTATATTATGTTAGTAGTATATGTTGATAATATTATGATTACTAGTAGTAAGGCTGGACGTGGTCCGGTCCAGTTTGGTTCTAAAGATAATCGAATTGGACCCAAAATTTTCAAGTATTTATTATGTGGAGCTGTCAGATCCAAATCTAATTATGAAATTGTTCGAGTTCAGTTCCATTCGGTTCAGTTCGGTTTGGTTCTGTTCCATTCGATTTCCAGGTTCCGTATTATAATTAAATTTTTTAATATTTACAAAACTATATTGATTTAAGTAATGATATGTTAAATCTTAACTCTTACAATATAACGTAGTCCAATCTTATGTGTTTTTGCATCTCTCTTTGCTGAGTTTTTCATATATTTGATTGTTAAAATCACAAAAAAGGAAGATAGCTAGCCCACAATAATTAACAGAGACGTTGAGGATAGGAAAATTATATTTTTGGGTTGAGATAAATTAACTAGTTAGCAAATTTATTAAGAAAAATAAAATAATTTGGTTTATTTAAAATAAATTAATTAAAAAATTATGGAGATTCGGTTCTTATTCTTGATCTAGAATTGAGAGCCAAATTGAATCCGTTGGTTTTCGATCGAGATATCCGTTTGGATATATAACTTAAGAAGAACCGCTCGGTTCGATTGAGTCTAGTCGGTTCAGTTTTGAAGTTTTGTCTAGCCCTAACTGGTAGTGATACTAGTGACATAAGTATGCTAAAAGCTTTCCAAGGCATAAGGCTTCAGATAAAAGAGTTAGGTCCTTTAAAATATTTTTTAGGGATAGAGGTTTCTCGAAGTGGTAAAAGAATTTGTTTGTTTCAAAGAAAATACGTTCTAAACCTACTTGATGAGACAGGTTTAGTGGAAACAAAACCGGTTGATGCTCCCATGATACCAAATGTGACTTAGGCCTGAAAATGGAGATGTGTTTGTTGATGCAAAGAAATACAGGAGAGTGGTGGGAAAATTGAACTATCTCACGATTACTCGTCCAGATATCGCCTTTCCAGTAAGTGTTGTTAGTCAATTTATGTCATCTCCTACAATTTAACATTGGGATGCTGTAATTCATATATTGAAGTACCTCAAAGGAGCTCTAGGGCGTCAAATTCGTTATAGAGACCATGGTCATTGTAGAGTTGGGGATTTTTCAGATGCGGATTGGGCAGGTTCTCTTGTGGATAGGCGCTCTACTACAAGGTATTGTGTATTCGTTGGGGGTAATTTGGTCTCCTGGAAGAGTGAGAAACAAAGTGTTGTAGCTCGATCAAGTGCAAAATCTGAATATCGAGCTATGGCACAGGTAACTTGTGAACTTGTGTGGGCTACATCACTTACTTGGGGAGATTGGCATATATAAGTCCTACTCTATAAACCTGTGGTGTGATAATCAAGCAGCTATTCACATTGCTACGAATCTTGTATTTCATGAGAGAATAAAGTACATAGAGGCAGACTGCCATTTTGTTCGTGAAAAGTTACAGCAAGAGTTGATTTCGACCAAGCATGTCAGGACAAGGGATCAGTTGACTAATATGTTTACTACAGCATTAGCTGGGACTCGAGTAAACTATATTTGTAATAAGTTGGGCATGAATGATATCCATGCTCCAACTTGAGGTGGATTGTTATGAACCGTGTACCTAATTTAAGAATAAATGTGATGTATGGTAGGAATATAAAGTCTAGAATTATTTTCTAATTAGAGACGATTATTCTCTTTTGAGAAATATGTGTGTGTACTCTTTGGTGAATTGGAATGAGAAATTGAGATTTTTTTCCAAATCAATTAACAGTTATAAAAGTAAAAACAAATTTTAAAAGTTTATAATACTATTAATGATGATAATAATACAAAAGAAATTTTTATAATTAACGGCAGTTACAATAATAATATACCGATGCAGCAGTAGATCACTTTTGTTTACCAAAAACTAAAATGCTCAATCCTAAACAAAGTTTACCAAACACTTAATTTTTATTTTTTTATTTTTTTTGGGCTGATTTTTCTTAGCACGGCAAAAATCAATTCTCTTAAAAGCATAGCATTACCAAACCAAACCGTAAACTATCTCATAAAGTTATTCAATTGTTACCGTGCTAAAAGATGACATTATGTAATTGGAGAAAAAAAATGATGAAAGAAAGGGAAATTCATATTGACTTCCTTAATTCTGGCAGATTCTGAAGGCCATGGGACTAGCTAAAACAGCATCAGCGGCAGTAGATCTCCTCATAGATATTGGCTATTTCCCTGTACACGTCAATCTTGATTTGTTAAAGTTGAATATTCGCACTGATTATCCGGAAGAGATTCTAGCAGCTGCTGAAAGTGTTCTCTTAGAGTGTCCTGACCTGGATAAGGTATGCTTCCTCTTTATTCTTTTAGCACTTTTAGCCATGGCCTGTTTGCTACTCAAGTGTAAAACTCTGAGATCTAGTGCAGTTAATTCAAATTTTGATTGTCACATTTTCTTAACTGTATTAAGTTCGAATCACGATCTTTTCTATACCCATGATTTTCATTCCTTTCCACTGCAGAATGGAGCTGCTTTTAGATGCATCTTTTTTATCCCCCCCCCCCCCCCCCCCCC